GCTGGCAAACTCGCGCTCTGATTGGTCGCGGTTTTTCGTTAATATCTCGTAAACGAAGCCTCAGTTTAAATTTTTGCTAAGGAAAAAGTTGTTCCAATTCACCCCCCGAGTGCCACATTTCCGGGTCGGAGGACATTTTTGGGACACCCTGTATATGTATATATACATATTTGAATACACGTGTATTAAAGAATCTGCATTTCGATTCGTATTAATTTTTAGGATACAGTTACTAATTTTGGAAAGCAGTTACACAAAATAGATACAACAATAAAGGGTATAGCCCGATAAAGGGGTCAAAAGTTAGAACGAATTGGATTTGTGATGGGCTGGGATTTAACAGCTCACCAAGAAAAACATGTGTACCAATTTTCAACGCTTTATTTCGACCAGGAGGGTAGTAACACAGAAAATTCGGATTATCCAGTTTTTCCTATATTATCCCTCTTTAATGACATGCAAAAAAATCTATAAAAAACCTGATAAATAATAGTTACTGGGGCACGTGTAAAGCAGGGCATACAATCAGTTTGCAATTTCCCAGCGAGATACCACATCTTGAGGACCCTCATTTTATAGAGGAAGGACTAACACATGTGACGACGTTTGAAATATGAAGTGTGGCCAGTTAGAAGTACATATTTTGAAAGTATACTCGCTTGTAAGTATAATCGCTTGGAATATCATCGAAAAAATAGTCAAAGTTGAAACTCCAATTTTATTGTAGCATGTTAAAATATTTTAATAGTTTTCTTAAAATGTTTGTAAATATTGACGTTCTTTGATTTTCATTTGACTTTCTATATTTTCCTAATTACAGATACAAATCATCAATTACGGGAGTAAGAAAATTACATTAATTTGCCAAATAAATAGCAGGAAAATGAATATGATAACGCAACAAAACACTTTATAATAAAATTTAGGTAGTGTAAAATATACATATATTTTTCTACATGTTATGATAAGTAGGTTTATTTTTGGAAAGCGATACCATTGTGCGCCACCCGGTATGTACGACCGCGCGGCGCGTGGCAACTATACGCCACGGGACGTACATTATGATAAACTTTCCTTTTTTTTTAATGTTCCCGCAATCGCTCCATCTTTTCGAAAAGCGCATTTTAAAGGTGAAGATTCGAGGAATTCAGTGATATTTTCTACAAATTCATCCATGGATGGGAACAGTGTCCAATCGACATTTCAAAATGTAACATTAATTACTATTGTATTTATTAACAATAAACAGAATTTTGTGTATACAGTTAGATAAATCGTTTCTTTAGCTTGAAAATGTGAGCAAGATTACTACTCTATGTTTAAAAATAACCAAAATATTGAGGTTGAAGTGATGTCGTGTCAGCTGATTTCGTCCAATTTTTCAAAAATTTAATATTAAATATCTCGGAAACGGTACGAGATAGGATCCAAAAATTTGACATGGTTCATTTTATCGTGTTTATCAAAAAATGCTGTAAATTTGAAAAAAATCACTGACTATGACCGCAGTTCTGTGCGTTTTAACGTGGAATGGCTCGTTAGGGAGCTGGCTGCTGGGTCTCCCGAAACCACCTTGTAATCTGTAGCGGGATGGTAGATGGTAGGAGCCGAACACACGGGCGAAGATTCCCGAAGGGACCTTCGGGTGATATGCGTGAGTGAGAAGGCAGTGTCATAGAGGGTGAGGCGTGCGGAGTGCGACGAGAGCGAGCGACAACAAAATGTATATGTATCTACATAGTATTAATTTTCACTGAACTATTTCAGTTTAGTTTAGAATTATCCATGAAACTGCCGTTCTTTGAAACCGAATATCCTACAGTAGTACGTACAGCTTCCAAGCAACGAAATATCATAAATATGCAAAAAAAGCTTGCAATTGTTAGGTGGGTCCCATTGAAATCACCGACACAGACTTCATCGACAACAGCTTTGACAAACAACAGCTTTCTTGAGCGTTAGATTGTAAAAAGCAATTTAGGCTTAGGAAACTGGAGGCGCGTTTATGACCAGTGCACCCTAGCAAAACAATACAGCGATCGAAGCACGCGGGCCCATTGTAACTCGTCATTACCTTTACTAGCGGTCAATGGTCATAACCTGGGATTTTTGGGACAGCTGACGAACACGTGTTTCTCACCTGTAAATACCCCAATTACATCGGTTTCGCCAGTTAATGTCCAGGAATCCCAGGACACCCTTAGAAAAGGAGAAAAAATGACAATCCGTCTTTTTCTACCTTCGCACCAAATTTCGCCACACCCACACCAACAGACACGACCAATCACACTCAACACACACCCTCTCCAATGCACACTGCATTTAATATATAAAGACAGAACTTAGACAGAAAAAAAAAAAGAATTGACACAATAGCCAACACGGTCACATCACAGTATAAGAACTCGATATACTTTACATCTTGTAAAATAAAGAACTCATTAGTACAGCACATATATTCAATATTTCGTTATCTCTTCGATCCTCCGCTACGAGTATTAGTTTACTCTGTGAGCGCGACACATCCGAACGGTTGAACCTGACCGATCGTCACTTTGCGTCGCAACATATTGGTCCTTCGAGCCGGATACAGTGCTGTGGAGGAAGCATCAGTCCGGAAATCTCATCTTGTGAGAATTTACCACTGAAGTCAGTGACATCAGGAGTGTGACCTTCAGAAAAACAACACATCACATTTGGTCCAGTGCATCTGATCAACGTCACCGAGGTCAGTGACATCAGGAGTGTCACCTTCGGAAGAGCAACACATCACACGTGATCCAGTATATCTCAACATCGCCGACGGAGTCGGTCACTCAGGAAGAGTAGCGCTTAATATAGTCACCCAACGCCTGACGTTCACTATGTACGGGTGGTGACTATAGTCACCCAACGTCTGATGCTCGCTGCATACGGACGGTGATTATAGTTACTCGTGCGATTGCACGAATAATCCTTATATGTTATTTCCATGGTAACCCACCGCAATTGTTTGGCATTTGTTTTACACGCTGAGATTTTTAACTGGCAATATGAACAGCAGTATAAAAATAATGTTTCGGTAGTGTTGAGACGAGCTGATGTTTAAGCCATCGTAATTTAAGAAATGTTATTTTGAGAGTCAACTGGTGCCTTTTGCTTAAATTTATTGTTTAGGACTCAAGTACGGCAGGAGACTTCCTGGGAAAGTTGTCCTGACCGTACCGTTATCGATGGCACTTAACGTAACGTAAACCTAGCCATGCATTGCGTAAGGCCCGGAGTTCGATATTGGGGAACAGGGGTCTTCTGTGTAGCCATCCTGGCGCTACCCTTGTTATTCCTTTGACTCCACGTTGTCTGGCGCATCCCCTCTTTTGGGTTTTGTAGGCGTTGCGTGGGCTGGGAAAGCGTCCTAGCATTTGCGTTGGTAGGGCCCAATGCCCCACTTTTTAGTTTCCTACGGGGGAGCGAATTTTCCTGCTTCGTAAACGGGAGATTCATGTTAACCACCGGACGTATCAGTTCGATACGATTCTCTTGAACAGTTTATAATTGACACACTCATTTTATAATAAAGTTATTAACCAGTTGCGCGGTGTGTATTCCTTTTACTTTCCTTTGGGCAACTTCAACGTACAATTGAAGTACGAGTGACATTTTGGTCCTTCGAGCCGGATCGGTGATCCGGTAATACAAGAATTGGATAACGCATCGCAGAAGCGATGTTTCAGATGTTTCCACCGTATGAAACATCTGTTTCCAGACCGGACGTACTGAGTTTTACCATTCAACGGTCGTGGATTTTTGGCATTATTGACTGCAACCAGTGATCTCCTTAGTTAGCAGCTATAGAAAAGTGTGTTTCCAATACTTTTGGAATTTCGTTGTGGTCTCTGTGCATCAATCGAGTACCACAATTCTTCCCTACATTTTGAGATTTTGGGATTGTTGCGGCTTGTCAGCAGCAGTCAGTTCAAGAGAAACGAGGAACCTGCCGAGCGGACTCTACAACCTACCCGGATAGGACGATTATACCGGTGGCAGAACGGCTTCTCAACGTCGGGGATATCAACGACAATATACTTCATCTTTTAATTCATCACGAGACGACATCGATTGACATACGATATTTACCATATGTAAATTATACTTCGGTGAGTGTAACGAATCACTTTCCTTGTTTTTCTTTCTTTCCTTTTCCGGTGTTCGATCTCAGTGATCATGTCTACTCAAGAATCTGCAAATTTAAAGGCGATGAAAAAGCAACGATCCAATATTAAGGCTCAAGTAACTCGTATTGTAACCTTTATAAACGAAAGGGTAGATTTCGATATTGAAGAATTAGATGCGCGTAAAACAAGATTAATAGAATTACGTGATTTATTTGATAAGGTACAAAGTATTATTGAAATGGAGGATGATGTTTCTGATCATGTTCCTACCAGAGATCAATTTGAAAGTCAGTTCTTTTCCACAATAGCTTGGTTGAATAAAAATATAAAATTATTAGGTGCACAGAGTAGACCTGCTTCTACAAGTACTTTAAACGACTCTGCCAGTAACCTAGTAGCAAAACAAACAAACACACTTTTGCCAAAAATAGAAATAAAACCTTTTGACGGAAATCCAATGGAGTGGCATAATTTTCACGATACGTTTAAGTCATTGGTTCATAATAATGTTGACTTACCGGCAGTTCAAAAATTTCATTTACTAAAGAATTCCTTACGCGGGGAAATAGCATATTTAATTTCTGCACTTAATGCATCTGAAGCTAATTACAATGTAGCACGGGAATTATTGCAGAAAAAATGCAATAGACCTCGACAAATTATCAATTCACATCTAAAAGCATTGTTTGAATTGCCTGAAATTAATCGTGAATCTGCTATAAATTTACGTACGTTATCTGAACAAGCACAGATGCACGTCAATGCTCTTAAAACTGCTAAGCAACCTGTAGATAATTGGGATGCTATTCTGGTTTATTTAATAGCTAAACAATTAGACAAAATTAAGAATTGCCCACATTCGAGCAACTGATTAATTTTATTAACAAACAAGCACGAGGTGATGATCCGGAAACGGAAAATTTTGCAACATCTCATAAATTCCAAAATCATCGTAGTAGCAATAAATATAAAGGAATACAGAATTATGCTACTTCAATTAATAAGGGTACATGTTATCTTTGCAAAGAGGGTCATGAATTATATAAATGTCCAAAATTTTTAAAATTAACAGTACGCGAACGATTTGATGAAGTTCGTAAAATCAAGTTATGCTTTAAATGTCTTAAGGGAAACTACAATAATTCTAATTGTTCGTTTAAAAATTGTTTCAAATGTGGTCGTCCACATAATTTGTTATTACATTTTTCAACCCGAATGGTTGTTTCTAAGACAGAGGAGAGTTCTCCCAGCACGTCCTCCGGTTGTGTGAGTGATAAAACAGTCATAACGATCACAAATGATTCGGAAGTATTATTAGGTACTGCTCTTATTAAGGTTTATGACAAGTATAATAACGAACACGTTTGTAGAATATTGCTAGATAGTGCCTCTCAAGCGCATTTTATTACAAATAAACTAGCTAAGCGTTTAAATTTGAAGAATGAAAATATTGATTGGAGTTTATCAGGTATTAATAAAATAAAAACTAAAGCAAATGTTTTAGTAGAAGCTAAAATTAGCTCACTTTCTGGAGATTATAATAACAAGATAAAATGTGTAGCTGTTGATATTATTAGCGGATTATTGCCTGCAAATTTCGTTAAAAGGGAAAATTTAAAAATTCCAAAGAATATTCAATTGGCTGATCCTCATTTTTGTAAACCAGCCGAAGTAGATATGCTTTTAGGAAATAGCATTTTTTATAAATTATTAACTAACGGTCTGGGTTAGGTTAAATGACGATAAGGTAATTTTACAAGCTACAAAATTAGGATGGATTGTAACAGGGGACGTAGACTGGAAAAGGGAGTCACAGACTAAGCAAAGATCATGTTTTTTAACACTGTCTCTTGATCAGCAGTTAAATAAATTCTGGGAAGTGGAAGAAGTTTCAAATGTAGCCTCATTGTCGTTGGAAGAACGTAATTGTGAAGATCATTTTACGAAAAATAAATATTTATAACGAATAAAATTGTAATGAATAACTCGTTACGGCGTCCCCGCGCAACGCCAGCGAGGCACCGCGTGGCAACTACCGTCGCGGCCGCGAGATGGCTACGCGCGCCTCGCAGTTCTCGCCGATAAGATTGTGCCTCGCGGCTACTAATACCGCGGCGCGAGGCACAATCGGGGCAGATCTCGACACCCTGCGTACCGGCACACACCGACCGCAATCGAGCTCTCTGCTTTTTGGATCCTCCAAGGTACTCACTCACTGGGGCGCTGTCCCAGTGTCTGCAGGAAGCCTTTAACCCAGAGGCCCTCCGACAGTGTCGGGTCAAACCCACTGCTCGGGCCATCCCGACCCCTCTTCCCCCGCAGGCCATCACCTAAGGGGGCGGGGACACCACGGGTCTGCTCCACCCGACCGACGGAACGGCCCCTGGCCGTCCCACGATCGAGGGCAAACCTCCCCTCCACCACGCCGCCTGAACCGCCGCACTCCGACCGCCGCACCACCAATCGAGGGCACCGCCGCGTTCACTCCGCCGCGCCGACTCCCGCCGAGCCGCCGTCCGGCTACCGCCGCGTTCCGACCGCCGCGCTAACCGACTACCACCGAGCCGCCGTCCGGCTACCGCCGCGTTACGACCGCCGCACCGCCGCGTGCACTCCGCTGCGCCCACCGACTACCGCCGAACCGCCGACTACCGCCGCATTCACTCCGCCGCTAGCCACTAAGACTAGAATCTAAGGACCCCCGACTCTTGTAATCCCCCCCCCCGAAGACAAATAAACCTACCGATTAATCAAGCTACACTCGTCTTATTTGTTCGACCCCTGGCAGCCGACTGAGCTGGCCTCCTTCCTCCGTCCCGCCGCGACATTCGTCGCAAAATTTTTAACGAAACTACATACATGTTAGGCGAATAGCGAACTATGGCGATGAATCGTTTTATAGCTTTAGAAAGAAAACTTCATAAGAATCCAAGCTCATTAAAGCAATATTCTGAATTTTTAGAGAAATATAAATCATTAGGTCATATGAGTAAAATCGTGAGCGATATTAGCAAGGGCTATTATTTACCACACCATGCAATATTCAAAGAATCCACTATGACAACCAAGATAAGAGTGGTATTTGATGCATCGGCTAAGAGTTCGACTGGTGTATGTTTAAATGATATTTTACTAGTTGGTCCAACCATACAAGATACTTTATTTTCGATTCTATTGAGATTTCGTACTCACGCTTTTGTCTTAACTACTGACATCGAAAAGATGTTCAGGCAAATTCAAGTCCATCCAGAAGATAGAGAATTTCAAAAAATATTGTGGCGTACTTCTCCTGATCAACCTATTGCGACATACAAATTAAATACTGTAACGTATGGTACCGCGTCTGCACCTTTTATAGCAGTACGTTTTTTGAAACAATTAGCGAATGATGAATCCGATAAATGAGGGAGATTGCTGCAGAGATGCGGCAAGCTCCCACGGCGGACCTGGGGGCGGTGATTTGCGAGAAAATCGCCGTTGTCCAGAAGGTTGCGACGACGAGTCGCAACCTGCAGGGGACGTACGTCCGCTGCCTGCGGGAGGCGGCACTGCATATCAAATATGCGGCCGCCGAGCAGGCAAAGC